TTAGCAGGTGTGGCGTGATGCGTGGCTCCAGCGTGGCCCCGTCTGCCGCCAGTGCGGCCACGTGGAGGCGAGGAGAGACGGGGGCCGTGGCCACACAGCTCCGTTTGTGAAGCCCGGTCCGGCTCCACGGTCGCCCAACACGCGTTGGTGTGCGGCACAAAGGCAGATGTTGTGTGGAAATATAAGCACGTCTACCGTTTGCGATTCAAATAGCTAAATGTGAAAGAAAACAGGCGCACAAATACACACCCTGTGCCAATATAATGTTGCACTGTCGAGCGGAACTCCAGTGTGGGTAACCATTTTCTTATTTATGTAGCTTTTACATTTTTTCAAAATGAGGTTACTATGATAAAACGTGATACGTTGCACAACAAATACAGTTAATACTTCACGAAACGTTATCAACTCGTGGCATGTTCTAAGATTAAAAAAACGAGTAGGTGGTTATTTAAAGGATGCACGATATAAGTAACCAAAGGCAGAGGGAAGAGGAATGAAACAACATGAACAATGACTCGCACAAACACACACGCACACACGGACACACACGCACACACACACTCGCACACACACACACACGCGCGCACACACACACACGCGCACAGAACACGCAAATAAGAGTCCCAGAACATTATCACAAGGCACAGCGAAGTCCACCATCTCCCCCCCCCCCATAATCATCGGGGAGTTGCATCACTTTAGGTTTCCAGAAACAATTCAACACACAACCTCGCTACGCGGACTGCGTCAAATAAATAACCACGACAATTTAAAATGTTAATTAACCATAAATGTTGATGGGGGGAAACAACTCACAACCAACACCGTGACTTGGGTCAATAATAAGAGAGAATTGTTTTTTTCTTTAAACATTTTGCGTTTTGCAATCTTAAATCTTGAACTCAAATAATTATCTACATCTCTGAAGCTCACAGCTCACGACCTGCTGAGCACAGACTAACAGCGGCATCACCACTTTCAGACTAAACTAAAAAAAAATCACAAGTTCTCAATGTTCTAACATTCTCAAACAAACAACCTGGATGTTAATGAATTAGACTTTTGAATGTTTTTGGAGTTATTCTTGGCGCACACGCTGATCTAAAATTGCCTTTGAAAAAAAAACCGTGATCCACAGGGCGCCATAATCAACAGCGCAGAAACATGTGTTGGTGGTTTTAGCTTGCGCCTTTCGGCGCATAGCTCAACCGAGCTCACGAGACACGTGTCCTGAGCAGCACGACCACAGCACAGCGGACGATTCTGACGTTAAGTACACAACATGACAACTCATTGTCGTTTTTTTTTTAATCCGTAACCTCCTACCTACAAAGTGTGGCTTAACAAGGAGCAGCAATTGTGCAGTCGGCTTGCTCGCTACGTATCCCGAAGTCTGCTAGTTTATTTGTGTTCTGTTTTCCCATATTAGGAAATGTTCATTTTAGAGCATAGAAAAATCGGTTGCACGTGCACAAAAAGTTATATTTCGTAAATATATCTGTGCCTGTCCTGTTATTGCTAATGTGGGTATGCCTGGCCTATGACTACTTGACTATGAACCGCACTCAAAACCAAACTGAGGCTGTGTGCAATACGAGATAAATCGCTGCTAGCAATCTTGCTGCTGCCCCCGTGTTTGTATGAACTTCATTAAAACGCGGCACTCATTCTTCTCAGCATGTCCGGTCATTAAATACTGTACTAAAGAGATTTCAAAAAATGCCTCTTGAATATAATCTAGGCAACAACGGTGCTGCTGCTCTCCCTCGCCCACTACGCTGCCCAAGATTGACTTAAATAATAATAATAAAGATTGACTTAAAATCGTATTTTTTCCAACAATAACTTTTACAGAAGGAAACGAAAGTCAAAGTGTGGTTTCCTGCCTAATTGCGCGCCCAGGCGGTATTCTTGTCCTGTTTACAGCCCCGAGCCGATGGTGGAAATTCCACATTCCTAAAGCTGGGGCGAGTCTATCCGGAGAATAACCACTCGTCATCGTCCACCTGGTATGGTAACCAGCCTACAGCTGGTATGCTGCCCGAGACACAAGGTGGATGTGTATTGTATTTTAAAAATTTTGAAGATAGTTTATTTGCATAACCTGCTATTAATATACATTTCTCTAAAGATTATAGGCCTATCGAATAAAATGTGTTTTATTTAAACGTGTGGAGACGCATAACGGAGTTCCGCTTACATGTCTTTTTGTATCGTCCTTAAGGATTCTGCTTGGAATGTCCAGCCATTCCCTTTGCTTGTAAACAAAAACTGGAGTAAAATTGGAGTACGTGAAGAAAACGAACGCAATAAGAGGGGATTACCTCTAAAATAATAAGCTTGTTTGGTAAGTGTTGCAGGTATTTGTACAGACCCCTTGAGCCCCATTGTCTTCAGGGACATACAAGTAACATATGTTAGGATCGAAAACTCTATAGAAATGTTCTTTAATGCAGACCAGGCAGCCAAACCAAATCAGGAATGCTTGATCAGTCAAAAAATTTTTTAAACCAAAGTTGTACCCCATCTGATTCTCAAAGGCCCATGTTCAGGCTCCTCATCAGTCATCGGAACTCCGTCGGACTCGAGTGGAGCGTCTTTGCTCCATTTCGCTGATGGTGCAGGAATTCGAGGTGAAAAGCACACTGCTGCCTCCACTTCCTGCCAGCGCCATGAAATTCCAGATGCCATCGCATTAAGTATTACCACATGCTACAACCTATTTGGAGGACAGCAGAAGTTTTATTTTTATTCGTCAGTATCACTTATGACAACTTTTAAAGAAAACATGCCATTCTTTTGAAATGCAGGGAATAATTACGAACCACAGTGAGTTCCGCTGAAAACACTGGTAATTCAAGCACATTGTTTTTTAAAATATATATTTATAAAAGTGTTTTATACTATTCACGGCGTACGTGAAAATATCAAATCCATTGGCATGTGAATGTTATACTAAATACAGCACAGACAAAATGTAAGGGGAGAAATAGTTGCTGCTCGGTGGTGGTGAATCATTTATAAAACTGTGCAATATGAAAAATCAGCAAAGGCAAATGTCATCCATAAGATGCTTTGTAAACTGACCGTGGGTATGTTTGGCAAATGCCACGTTTGAAATGGTCACCGAGCACTCCTTTAAAGTGTCAGTGGGTAAAACCTTAATCTACCAAAACCTTCTCATTGTCTGATACAGCTTACATTTCCACAACGTGTATCAGAATCGTTTCCCTTTCAACTCTGTTTTTACAAAGCCTTAACGGTCCACCAAACCTCCATGAGGACTCAAGCTGAGGGATCTTCACAGCACATTGGCACTTTTAAATGAGAGTAACAAGACCAACACTGAAATCGTCCATAATCCAGCTTAGCGAGCCATTAGTTTTCTTTAACTGTGCCCCATTGTCGTGGGCTTTGCTTTTACTCCTCTTTAACAACCACATTTAAATAGGGATGCCCACAGTTCTGACCTCCCGGCCTCTGGGTTTCTGTGCGCTTAAGGAGCAAAGAAGCAAGTGAACCAGGTTGACTTTGACTGCAGAGTGCATTGTCCCGGCACGGCCTGTCCTGAACTCTAGCCATGGGGCTCCACAGCCCCGTATCGTGAGAGGGCCCCACACGAATCAGCGCTGGCAGGACAGCTTAATGTTACCGTCCGTCAGTGCGGCGTCACGGTTTTTATGAATGGAAGTGACAAAACGACGCGAAGTGCTCCCCACATTACGCCAGCGTATCAACAATTACCGTTCCTTTTTTGCGACAAAACATTTTCGCACGCGCAGAGAAAACAAGCGCGCGCACAAAGCGTCTCTTCTGCGCGGCGGGAACAAAAGGCGCATACGTATTCATGGCTTTGCTCACCGACGTGACGATAAATATTCCAGTCTCAAAACGAAGAAACACAACGGTATCTCGGCAAATAATTAAGGGAAAAAAATCGCTGTCAAATATTATTGAGTAAGCAAATGCAACCAAGAGAGGAAAACGGAATACGCCTTTCCGTGTGCTCTCCGCTGTGCAGATGTCGTTAGCACGCGACGGCCACACAACGCGCCAATTATACCGGCGGGCGCTTCTCAAACCGTTTAAACTTCAGCACTGTGATGTGATGTCCGTAGTTCGTGTATGTATTTTGAACTTTGTTCGCACCATACGTAGTCAACCGTGCTAAATACGAGGTTCTGGGGGAACAACAACAAACTAAACACAAAAAGCAGTTCTAAAAAAATGAGTTTTCAATCTCGATTATTTAAAAGTGTATTGTCCAGTGGCTTCCTAATATCGAAATGGAAGAGCGTTCCAGACGGCCGCAGAAGCACATCTCAAAATGCGTGATGCGGTAACCATCTTTGTTCCAAAAGCCGCTGCGAGGATAACCGCAGTTGGTGTGATGGTTTATGCTCCTTGATGAGATCAGCACGGCATTGTGGTTCATTTGTGGCAAGCACTTTGTGTGTAATGAGTGCGACATTACAATATAACCTTAAACCATGCTTGTTCGCATTGCAGGACAGCGTCGCATATCTGACTTGCTGGGTACTAAAGTACATGGACGCATGAGTGAACAAGTCAGATATGTGAGCATCTATAGCAAATGACGGCAACACCGTGCACAAATACTTTGGTGAATGTGAGCGGTTAATTGGTCAGGGTGGACATGTGACAGTCGGATATGTAACATTGTACCGTATGACTTGTATATACATAGCAGCCCTCCTCGTTGCTAACACGATTAGTAACTTGGCACACACACGATGCATTACGCTCCCCAACTGAAGCAGCTGTGACCAATGATGGAAAACACAATTACACAGCTGACTCTTTGAATTAACCACTTGCTATATTTTTCCAGCGGCTGGATGGTAAAAAAAATTTTATTCAATAAGGAAGCATTTCCTCGGTGGACAGAATTGAAAATTTTCTACTGCAGTGATAATACCAACAAAGATGCGTTATGAGGTGTACAAAATCAATCGTAGGATTTGTTTTAATCTTACCTTTGATTCGCATTTTTTGTGGCAGATATACTTGCAAACTGCAACAGAAGAAAACAGGGGAGAAACATCAAGAACAATAAAACTTGCAACATCTGCGATCGTTCATCACAGTTTCAAAAGACAGAACGAGTCGGGCGAAGGAACTTATTTCCGCAGTCGGGCGGTTCGAGTGAGATCCTATTCTGGAGTTGTCTTCACCCTTCATCAACTCAAGAGGTTCTTAAAATAAGGACCACTTCATGAAAATTCACACGTTGTCAACCTCTGGTTGGAATGGTCCCCACCATATGAATGTGGAATTTCCACCACTGGCTCATGGCCACCAATCAAGAGGAGTGCCACCTCCATTGCGCATTAGAACAGAGAGGCACTTTGACCCGAATTAGACCATAAGAGAGTCAACAATGCAATGGTCCTAACTGCCAATGCATTCATTAGGGGACAGAAAGGTCATAAGGATTATGTACCAAGTTGCAGATGAAATGTCCTCCGAGAGGTTACCGCGCTTCCCCGGAGACTTTGCGAGCACCAACAATGCAACGTAAGAGCACCGATGGCTCAGAAAAGAGGTTTCCAATTTCCAAGCCCAATATTGATTAGGTTCAGCCTAAATAATCGATGTGAAACGATGAAGCATATTTTGCACAACAACACCATTCTAATATTGTTGCAAGACATTACAGATACATTTTAAAAATGGAAATATAACAACTAGAACTCCAGTATAATTAAGATTTGTTGACATGTTATTAGAAATGAACCAAAATTAAAGAAGATTTTTCATTGTTACGATGTTTTTAACGAGACGTATCCATGTAAAATTGGCTCTACTGAGCCCAAACAAAACAAAGAATATTTAACAAGCTTGCAATAAAAACATAGTCCAGTCATGGCAGATGTTTAGTAAATGGTAACATCTTCAAAAATTATTTCAAACAATTGCAATCAGTTCTCATTAAATTCGTTTGCAAATTTGCTTCAATGTGTTTGAAAAAAAACTCTACACGGGAGGCTTATTTGAAAAAAAAAAAATTCAACCACTGCCAAGACCCAGCAGGGATCTTGGACAATACCATCTATTGTACCGTACAGTCCATATCTAGCCACACAACAGAACTCCTCATTAACAAATGCAGTGAGCAGCAATTAATTCAGCCCCTCCCAGCACCTTAATAATTGTAATTTAATATAGAATTGGTTAAAAAAATATGCGACGGTAGCGACAGACAAGGCCAGGAGGGAATGGCCGCTAAAGGGAGTGTGCATGAAAAAGTGCACGACCGCCGTGGAGATGGAGCTGTGAAATCTGCTCACACGCAGGAGTGAGATGGATTGTGTGACATCGCAGGGCCACGAGGGATGGTGACGCTGTGGGGAAGCCTGGTCCAGCAGCGGATAAACAATGGCTGACGAGCAATATATAAAACACACTGCCTTTGACACGCATCTCCAAAGAGTAAACAAATGCCCGTGCCACATTCAGAAATGATACAGATTACCATACCATTTGAAAAACCACGTTTATGGAACGTAACTTTTTCCACGAGTCTTGTAATTCATTAAAGGTTAGTCATGCGGTTTATTAAAATAAAATAAACGCACGCGTACATTTCCACCGCAAAGTTCGGTGCATTTGCCTTGGTCCAAACGACTCAATGTCGATGCTATTCGCGTTCCTTTTGAGTCACCCGCAGAGGAAGGGTGGAGCTGCAGTAGAGGTCGCGGTTGGGCAGCTGAGCTCATGGCAGAGCGTGCACCCCCCCCCCTCTCAGCCCCGCGTCGTTTCACAGCCGCACAATTCTCAGCAACTTCGCGTGCACCGCTCTAAAAATAATAATCATTGGGCAAAGAACGGGTCCCACGCCAGTCTAGGTTTACATATTAAGTGTAGATTAATAGGCTAACGTGACTACAGGCGGCGTCATTATAGCTGCTAAATGGAGCAATTGACCAGGCAGAACAAAGACTTAGTGAAGATGCTTAGTGCATCAGCTCAACTTAAGCTGGGTAGGGTAACTGCCAGCGATGCCCTGCTGATAATCTGCTCAAACGTCCCCAATATTTGGCCAACTGCCTTTAAAAAAAATAAGCACGTGACCTCCCACGTGCGATATAAGCCAAGTGTCACCAGCCTGTTTCTGTGCTCGGTTGGGCAATACTACTGAAACGTGGCATTGAGCTGCAATTTACAAGGAGGGAGTTTTGCATTCGGATTAATTGACAGCCGTTTTAATAGCGGTCATTATCCGCTCCTTCGAATGACACCCAATATGCGAATGTGGAAATAGACGTTACCAGTCGCAGTACGAGCGATATTTCTGGTTCCAAAAAAATTGGTATAAGGCGGCCTTTGAAGCATTTTTTTTTGCAGAAAGCAGTCAGTAAAGTGGAATAAATAAGCAAGAGCTTTCAAAAATGGAATTGGATATGGGTGGCTCAAAATACATGCAAATGACTTATTTATTTGAATTTCAGAACTGTTTCGCAAAGACATTTCAACGGACACAGTTCCCCACAGTACTCTCCATTGTAGCTGCGAGTCACGGTCTCGAGCCCTCTAGTGGCTGAAAGTATAATGAACTCCACAGAGCTCTAGCCCATGCGTCTTAAATGAGTGCCACGTGTTGCTTGGCACGATGTCCGACGTTCCATTCTATGCACCGGGGAGCTTCCGCATGGAACTATTCACGATGTAGACAGTTCTCGTCTTCAGAAACTATTCGGTTCCTGAAAATAAGCTCACAGCACTTGGACCGAACTTAGACTCAGAACCTTTATTTATCCTGGAGAAATCCGATGAACTATAAAGCTCTCTTTCACGGTCGTCCAGTCGGGGTGGGTCAGAAAGTTACAGCGAACAATACAAACAAAACGATTGGCGTGCAAAGTATAGGAAAGGTAAGCAAAGCAATGCAAATAAGTACGTAAAGTTTATAAAGTGTATAAAGTACAATTTGCAAAAGTACATCAATTCCTGCCGATGTCCAACAATACTGTACATGGTCGCTTGGGCAACGCATCAAAACAACAACAACAACAGTCCCAGACCACAGCAAGTAAACACACAGAAGTCTCTAAAATACATTGCGCATACAAATGGAAGCATCTATACACGGGTAAGGATGAAAGCTACAAATCACATTGCAAATGTGGTTGTATCTGGCACCACGCGGCGTAACAAACCTCCGATAAGCGTGAGTGGCTATGTACGTTGCGAAAGAGGTTCAACATTCGCACATACTACGCAAGTCTAATGTGCTTGCTCTTTCATAGATTTCAGCTAAATGGACCCCAGGCTTGAGTCTACTTCTGAGGTTTATCATGTGACCAGTTCACTATTGTCATAACTATAGTTACCGAGTAAGGTGATTTGCTTAACAGGCAGAAATGTCCAAAAAAGGCCACTGACAGTAGCCAAAAACACGAGATTTCATCTCTGTATTATTTGAATTGCACAGACCAGACTGTCTCCAACGTAATGACCGATGTACAATGCACTTAGCGCTCAGGAATGTAAGATCGTAACAAGGATATATCTCGTTACTGTTTTGACGCGTTACAAAAACAAAATCGTTCTGCGTCGGTCAAGATGCAAGAGATGGCGACCACCCGGTGGTCGAGACGAATGCCAGAGTAGCAGCCAGATGCGGAGACGCCCAGAGAGAGAAGAGTCCGTACAAGCGTGGAGGAGATGGAGCAACGCAATCCGCTCGTGCGCAGGTGGATAGAGCTGCTGGCTGCGCCACGAGACCACGAGAGATGCCGAGACGACCGCCAATGGATATGAACATCAGAATCACAAGCTTTATTTATCCTGGAGAAATCCGATGAGCCATGAAGCTTTTTTCACACCCCCCCCCCCCCGTAGTTGTGGGTCAGCTACGAGCGTTATTCGTGATGATGACGATGACCACTTTAGCAAGAAACTCATCCATCCGCTTTACGTCACTGTAACCATTCTGAGAAGATAAACATCGGCGGACGACAAGAAACCCGCCGCCTGCAGCCGGCGGCCCCCGTGCGGCACACGCACGACCGTTGACTGAAGACGGAACAAAGAGGCCGCCACGACACAGCCACTGGGCCGAGGTGGCTCAATGGACTCTTCTGAATCTTTACCAACCACCACCACCGCAGCAGCGATGCTGGCTGCTCGACCGTCAACAGCGCGCTCCGACGAAGCCGCCGACAACCAAAAATGCCACGCTCGATGAAAGCGTTACGACGATGCCTCATTTGGACGCCCTTTCAGAGCATCCTTCCCTCTTCGACACCAGCAGATGCCAATCGCTTGCGATGCGGTTGCATTCATGCAAGAAGCCGTCACCAAGAGCGCTGCTGCTGCTGCTGCACTGGAACGGGTACGCTCCCCTGCGGGAACACCGAGGCTGACAGAGCGTGGCATTGACTAATGTTTCCGCGTGCGCTCCAGTGGAGCCGCAGGTTTCACAGCGAGCCAGCAGAGGGAGGCAGCACAGCTGCAGGACGACAGGAAGCCCCCAACAGCCCCACTCTTAATGTCACCGAAGGTACGGACGTCGGACTTCTTTCGCACCGTACGTAGCCAACCGTGCTAATCGGAGTGCGCGGGGAAGGACAAACTAAGCACAAAAACGCGGTTCTAAAGATGAGTTTCAATATCGATTTAAAAGTGCACAGCTCCACTGCATTGCTAATATCGTAAGGAAGAGCGTTCCAGACGGCCGCATCAGGTATAACGACGGGGTGTTCAGACGCTCCAATTTCCCTGCCCGGCAGAAACAACAACTCACACGGATGGAATTGAAGGACAGCGCCCGCCCAAAGAAGCATGGAGAGATGCACGCGTGGAATTGCATTGACGAACGAGAAAGAAGACCACGTGGAAAAGATGACGCACACAGGTCAATCACATCATCCAAACCATGAATACAAGTCAAGGGACTTGGGCAGAACCCGTCATACCTAACAGGGTTCATGGACGGTGGTCAATAAGAATAGTATCGGAGTGGCAGCCAAGGAATGGAACGCGTTCAAAATACATCCACGACGGAGATGGAGCGATGGAATCTGTTCATGTGCAGGTGCTCCATGGATTGTTGTAACTTTGCCATGGAATAAAGATAAACGTCGAAGGAAACACACACTCATCATCATCATCATGAGCCATGACCTATCAACTGCTGGATGAAAGCCTACCCAAGCTCTCCAATGGGCTTGCCATGCAACAATCCATCTAGCTCCTGCGCACACACCGATGTCATTGTTCCGTCTCTGTGGTGGGCATCTATTGGGCATGCTCCCCTCCTCTAGCTGTAACTCCACCGCTAGTCTCGACCACTGGTCGTTATCTATTCTAGAGAAATGTCCTTTCCAAATTCACTCCCTTTTCAGCTGGATCTGTCCGGGTCAGCGACACAGAAAATATTTTCGCACTTGGCACACCACATCCAGTATACCTCTGGTAATGGCGGTGATTCACTGCTGTGCTCTATTACTACGGTATATGCTGCAGTCGTTGTAATGCACAATGAATATGATTGTGCACATGTCACTGAAAAACGCACGCGTCACATTTACATTTCCGTGTTTATTTTGACACAAGACTCCCAAGTATCGTGTTAAGGTCATTCAACCACCCCGAAACATTTTAATCCAAATCAAATATATATCCTCTTCTTCACAGATGCATACGATGATGGAAAGGAACCAATAAACGCTGCAGTGACTGAAGCGTTTTTTTTTGGTGTGTACACAAAGATCAAAGATCACCCGTGTAGCATTAACAGACTGTCGGGGCAAGTGCTGTTAGCGAGCACCTATGAAGGCCGGAACGGTACACGAGGGGGTGGGTGGCCAGCACCACGCCCGACCGCCTTTGTCTCCCTAGTGGCGATGTTTACACACCGCACCAGGTACTCATTTAAGGCTGAGTCGACCTAGGGGAGGCCCAGGACCGGTTCAGATAATCGTCACTGGTGTTAGCCGTGAGCGGGAATCGAACCCGGGTCGCCAGGTTCATAGCGCAGCGTAGCGCTAACCGCTACACTACCGCTCCCCACACACGCACACACACGCGCGCACACACGCGCGCACACACACACGTACACACACACACACACGCGCGCGCACACACACACGCACACACACGCACACACGCGCGCGCACACACACACGCGCACACACACACGCACGCGCGCACACACACACGTACACGCGCGCGCGCGCCACGCGCACGCGGGCACGTGCCTGAGGCACGACCGCAAACCACGCGGCTGCTCGAGTTGTTTCTGGCCACGGCCACGCGTCGGATACGCCGCGAGCCGCAGCAACGCGCCGGGCGGCAACCGGCTTTCATTCCGACAAACCGCCAAATCCCGAGAACAAACCAATTCATCCCGCTGTATGTTTCTTTTTTATCTGCACCTCAACAACAACTTTGGCTTTTTACGATTTTGTAGAAACACCTGAAATGGGAGCAATCCTGCAATTATCATGAAGTGCAGAACTGTCACTTGAATACATTGCAAACGTCGCGCGCACTGCACTGAAAGTGCGTGCCGCAAATGAACCACGATACCTTGCTGATCTCGTCACGGAGCACAAACCATCATCACGCGAACTCCGGTTCTCATCACAGGGGCTTCTGGCTCACCATCGACAAAGACGGCGGTCACCGCATCGCGTGGTGCTTTCAGATGCGCTTCTGCGGCCGTCTGGAACGCTCTTCCTTCCGATATTAGGAAGCCACTGGAGCTATACACTTTAAATCATCATCTAGATTGACGACCTAATTTCATTTTAATTGCTTTTTGTGCTTAGTTTGTTGTCATTTTCCCCGCACCTACGATTAGCAGTTGACTACGTACGGTGCAAAAGAAGTTCAACATACGTATGTCATGAATACAGAAGAGTAGCATATGCTATCCATGGGGGAGCATCAATGCAACGAATAGTGCACTTCGCTCTGCACCTAGTAGCCTCAGTTGGATACCTGGCCTTCTTGAACATCATTGGCGAGTGTGGTGAAGTGTAGTCAACCAACCCTCACGAACGACACGGCACGGGGAAGCCTTCACGCAGCCGAGATTGTCAATTGGCTCTGCATTATTATTATAATTTGCTGTAGAGTAACGCACTGGTTATTTTGTACATTTATAACAGTAATTGGCTGAGTTTATCTCACTGATGAGCCCCAATTATTTTTTGTTGTTGCGTATGGCAACACGGTTCACGAACTAAATGCCAACGTTCAGGTCTGCTAGCCACGAGGGGGCTGCATGAGAGAGTTCTTGTAATGTTGCTATCCCTCCGTTGAATGAGCTCAGGCTACAGCAGTTTACTGTGGTCCATAGTTTGGATTGCATGGTCAAATAAGCCCCAATGACATCTAAACATATCCACTTTTATCTTGACTGAAAGCTTTTGTGACTGCAGGAATCCATATTCTTTGGGTCTTTCGCTAAAGCCACGTAGACAGAAAAAATAACAAAAAATATCGACGTTTCGATCGCAACACAAGTGGTCGTCTTCAGGAAAATATCCACTTCTCCCAAGCAGCCGCAAAACAGGCTTCTCACAAAGAGAGCAGTCATTAACAGGAGTGACCCTCGCCTTTTTATTTTAAATATTGTTCCGCTTAACTTAACAGCGCAGCATGTGTTATGTACTCTATATATTTATACAAAGGGTACTCGAAGGGATTTGAGAATAAGACGCTACAACAACTGCTGTGCGAACATAATAAATAAGATGTAGATGCTTGCCCCGAGCTCTCATACTCTGATGGTGCATTGTCCTTGAGTTGTGCGCCTTTTGGCGTCATCTGGTCCAACCCATATGAGACTAGGCTCGAAGGAAAGCTGTCTCGGGTGTGGACCAATCAACTTCAAGGACAGTGCACATTATCAGAGTTATGTCTTTTGTTTGTATTTATGACTGCAGGTATTGCGGTCTATGCAAACATGACTCCTTGCAAAAAGGTGTCAGTTTTGTTGCCAGATAGAAGGGTAAAGAACCAATTATCAAAATATTTCAAACTTTGTTAATTCAATGCTGGATGAAGGCCTCTCCTCGCTGTGTCAGCAATACGAGCTGTTTGCCGACATTTCTGCACACACTGGCCAACACGAGTTCAAAGACCACTCACCACTCATGTTAGTCATGGCCAGAAATCAAACTCAGGTCACCAGGTTCATCGTGCAGTTCGCTAACTACCGCAGCACCGCTCACCAAATTATTAACAATATTACAGCATCCTTGGCCTCCATATTAAAACAAATCAACGTAGCAGACTAAATGCTTATTTAGTAAGTTAAGATTAGCATATATTTAACAATCTTGTTTTAAAAAAAGTTCACGTGCAAATTGTAGTGTATTTATAGTTGGTATCGCAGGAGAAGGCCCAAATATACACGGCAAGAAACAAACGTACGGCCTGAAGGAGGTTCGAATCTGGACACCCCCTTTTTTGTTTGTGTTGAAGGATGATCGTTCTGTATCCTTCCCCGCCTGGAATGCGTGGTGGTCGGTTGTAACGCATCCTGAGCCGTGCATGACTCAGAGGATTAAAGGAGTCGCAGCACGAAAGCCTACCTCTTGCCTTGACCCAGGGAGGCCCCCACCCCAGCAAAGCGGTCACCCATGCGTGCATCAGTGGCACGCGAAATTGGCAAACAGGAGTGAAATCACCGCGCTAAGCATCGCTTTCCAGCCTCCCCTCCGCCTGGGTAGGAAGTCAGGACGGGAGGGAGAGGCCACGCTTCCTCCTCAAAAGCCGGGAAAGGTTTTAAAACACAGGCAAAACCTGACAACCCGCCATTATCCAAATTCACATTACTTAAGCAATGCGGTATTATATTACCGTCATAAACAGTTTTTACTACAAGTGTTTTATGCACTTATTTACATGCAATGTATACTGCTTTTTCGTATTAAATCATCACAGTCTTGGATTCAGCAAAACTCTGGCACACAATCACATATGCTTGTTGGGTACAATGTCATGGGCTCAACAATGTTCACCTCTCAGCCAACTGAAAATGGGACTGATGGTAATTCCTCACGGACATTACTGCCCTTCTCCACTGTGCCAGTGGTCAGTGTGCCCGCTACGCACCCACCGTGCCTCACAACCCTGCAGCACGACCTTGTTCAAAGGGGGGGCATACGAACAGGGGTTATGGCACAACGCAGTCGATGTTAAACAAACTTCAACAACCCTGAACAGAGGGAGCAGCGATGCGATCTGCATTTGTGTGTCGCGCGTTCTGCTCCTCCGGCCCTCGCTCCCCGTGTATGCGAGCAAAGGCTGCAATGTCCATCGCTTCATCGTTACGAATCTGAAACCATCAGCTTTTTAACTCGACTCCAAGACTTTAGAAGCGGGGCTGAGCCTTGAGCAGAGGGGGGCTCAGCCCCCTCCACGGAGCCACGTAGCCGGCGGAACCACCAAAACGGTGCATAGAGTTCTTTAAAGATAAAAAAAAATCTTCAATTTGTACAGTTCCCCCACTGTAAGATCACGAGTGCTGTGGGGTGCACATTGCCACCGGGCGCGACTCTTGAGCGGGTCCCTCCGGCCCCAGGCTCTTACCGCGGCAGCAGAGGCCCTGCTGGCCCAGAGGCTGCCTGCACGCGCCGCACACCCGGGGCCGCTTGAAGCTCTTAGCCTTGAAGGTGTGAGCGTTGGGGGCCTCCGCTTCTTCGGGCTGAAAAACACAACAACAACAACAACAAAAAGGAATGCAGCAAACGCGTCCCTTCGGTCGGTCGCATTCACCATCAGCAGCAGCAGCATCGCTGCAACTTACTCCTATTAACTTCCATCAGTTGCTCCGTCATCATCATAATCGGGACATCACAATAATTATAATGATCATCATTATGATAAATGTGATCATCATAATGATGATGATGATTATGATTATGATCATTATTTTCATGATGATTATGATGATTATGATGATGCCCCGCACCTCCGATTAACACGGTTGGCTACGTACGGTGCAAAAGAAGCTCAACATACATATATAGAACATCAATACAACATGCATATACATGCATTATTCGGGTGACAGGTGACGCAGTGGCTACGCTTGTGCCTCACAGCAAGACAGACCTGGGTTATATTCCTGACCCATGCAGCTGCCTTCCTGTGTGTAGTTTAAATGTTCTCCCCCTGTTCTACATAGGTTTTCTCCAGGTTCTCTGGTTTTATCCCATCGCTATAACAATCATAAACATGTAACCGGTATGCGGCAAAACATTCCAATGACTGAAAAAATTACCCAATTGGGATTACGCAGCAACTTGCCCCCTAGTGTGGAAACTTGGCATAGACCTCTTTAACGAGTCTTGAGATTCAGTGAAACATTGCTGGTTAAACAAGTTTACCACTTATAATAAATGATAATACGTTGTGATCAACACTATCATCTATTTTCTATTGCACCTTCAATAGTGCTGTTTATTGCTGGCTGCTTGGAATGTTGAGCCTTTGAGCCTTTATTTGGCAATCATGATAAAAAAATATATACAAAACGATGGCTAATGTATGGCATTTATTCAACAAATATAACTTAACTGACAACACCTGTGGTTAATATTTATATTTGCCTAATAACTCGTGAACACAATGCATCACTAAGCCAACACACACTGCTTTAGAGTCACTGTCCTTTTGGAATGAACCACATCCTTTGACAAGCCATCCACTGAGTCATCCGATGGAGAGACGGGCCACTGCCATGGAATTTTGAGCACGAATTAATGGCCACCAGAGGAGATAAACACCAACGCATTACACATTTATATAGACAGACAAATGACTTTGCTTTGACAAGTGACAATACCGCACCTCCAATTAGTACGGTTGGCAACATACGTTTGGAAATAAGTTCAACATACATACGATACTGGGGTTTACCATTTGCAGCCACATTATATTGACTCTTCTTCGTCTCTTTCCCCAATTTTACCTTTACAATTTTCATATCCACATCATGTCCTGAGATTAAGAATCACTTTCGAAATTATTGCAACATCAGTGTAACTCCAACAGTGTTTACCCACACTTCAGAAGGCATCCGTTTTCCACACTTGCAGCCAAGCCCTGATATTTTCATTCTCATAGCTGGACTTGAACGAAAGAGCAAACCCGAATTAAACATGAATGCTTTTTTTGTGCAGTCATCGGAGACTGGGCTGAGATCATCAACTCCACTAAAAGTGAGAACACGATTTCAACACGAGTGGCCGAATCCCAGAATATAACCCGGAATATTAGCGGTGCCAAGCTTGGAACACAGGGAGCCTCTCCTGGCCTCAAAAACCTACTAGGTTGAACTTCTTTTGCACCGTACGTAGCCAACCGTGCTAAACGGAGGTGAACAAAGTATCAACCCGTTACAGTAATACGACGAACAACCACGAGCAGGGTGGTACACAGTCGATATTTATGAATGACAACAAGCTGCTGCCGCGACCCTCACCAGGACAAGCGGATCGAGAAATTAACGAACGAAAACGATGTACAATGAACTGTGGGGACCTTCACAGAACCACCAATGAAGGCCCTTATTTGCCAGTATACAAATATAACACGGAAATAATGGCGCAATTCTAAATTACACAAAGCACTTTTTGTGTGTGTGTGTGCATATATATACACACACACAGACACATTATGGCGTGGAATCACTGGGTGGTCAGAGAAGGCTAATGAGTGTGGCCTCAGTCACAGTCCAATGTTGGCCAAGATTTAGAAGGCCTCACTCAGCAGCCCGACAAAGCTCCCTTTGCCAAGGCCCCCCCCCCTCCTCTATACCCCCCATACCACCCTCCCCTATACCCCCCCATGCCCCCCTCCCCTATACCCCCCATACCACCCTCCCCTATACCCCCCATACCCCCCTCCCCTATACCCCCCCATGCCCCTCTCCCCTATACCTCCCCATACCCCCCTCCCCTATACCCCCTCCCCTATACCCCCCCATACCCCCCTCTCCTTTACCCCCCATACCCCCTCCCCTATACCCCCCTCCCCCACCTCGTGCCCACTGGGAGTGCAAAGCCAGCAACCACTCCATTCACTCGCCCCCCCCACCACCACACGCGCGATCATTAAGAGGCGGCCCATTGTACACACTCATTTGTCACAGACAAATCGCAATCTACAATAGGCAGGTACAAGACCCTTATACACACAGCGAAGAAGAAAAACACTGGACAAAGAATCCCTGTAATCGAAAATATGTCGTGTATTTGCTTGCATTTACACTGCGTACATATAGCAACATAACGCTTATCATAATCATGTAAGCGCGCACCAAAAATACCCCCGTGCGGTAAAATATTAAGTCTAAAAGTTACCACAATGTGGATGATAGCGTTGCCACCTGTCCGGGTTTGGCCCGGGCAGTCTGAGTGGGGGGGGGGGGGGGTCTGAGGTTTGTTTAGATACATTTGTAAATTCAATTAAAGATAACAGTTGGAAAAAAATCAGATGCCATTATGAACAATAATGTTTCTCTATGAAAACAGAAACGCATTTTGAAAACCCCTTCAGCAACGCGTTCAATGCTGAGGACATTGGCAGCCGCAGTGTCGGGTCGCCAGCTGCCCAGGTTGACCTGGACAGTCTGGGAGTTGCCATCTGCGTTCAGGTGGCAGGAATTAATTCGTAGCGAGATCTGCTGCCGGTGCTGCTGTGTTGAACCTGCACAGCTTTGCTAATGAACCTCGTGCGTTGGGGCTGTCGGCAAAGGTGGCAGCCGCAGTGGTCGCTCTCACCTTACGGTCGTGGCCTTGGCTCTCTGTCTTTGTCTCTAAAGCGAATTCGCTTTGATGCCTCACTTCTTCTCTGGGCGTGATGAGTGAAAACAATGCTTCAAGAGGGCTATAAACTGCTCGTTGTAAAGTTCAAAGGATGGCAATTTGCGCACTAGTGGGCGTTCTGTGCTTCGTGCAATCGGCAGAAGAAAAAGCGGCATTCAGAACGTACCCGAAGAAACTGTTCAGATTGGAAGCGACCGAATGAAATGCTTTGAGTGGGTTGAAGAGTTAAACCATCAGCTTCTCATCACTTTCCCAATTTCCCCACTCACACGACCGGGAGCAAAATAACAAATGTAGTACTAGATCAATCATTGCTTGTAATTCGGATGTAACATCGTTGAAATGGTGAACACCTCCGATTAGCACGGTTGACTACGTATGGTGCAACAAAGTTCACACACACATGCATGTACACAACAGTAATTTCCTGAATAAAGTAAACATAGCACCACTTGTTGGAACAAGCGGTTCTGACCACTGCACCACAACTCCCTCCACCGCACCATGAACAGGGAGGCCTGTGTTTGATTTCTGGGCAGGGCTAACATCTGTGGCGAGTGATACCTGGACTGGCCATGCGGGCCCCATAACCAAGCCACACTAACCAACGTGGTGAATTACGGTCAACCAAACCGTCATTACCAATATCGTGGACAGACTTCACCAGCAGACGATTTTCAAAGGGGCTATACGCTACATTATTATTATTTGAAGACTCCAATAAGTCAGAAGTGGCGACACAGTGGTGAGCACACTACGCTATAACATGCGTTTGATTTCGAGCGACGAATAACATCTGTGGCGTGTGACATCTGAACTGGTTTTGGGTCCACTCTTATCAACCCGCACTGACAAGTGTGGTGAAGTATGCTCAAACAAACCCGCATGGCTGATGCGGAAAGGCATTTGTCCAGTTGTCGATTGACAAGGGACTAAAACTCACCAACTGACTTAATCCAATAAGAATGAATGTAAACAGAGAGTACTTTCTGTATGTATGTTGAACTTCTTTCGCACCGAACGTAGCCAACTGTGATAATCGGAGGTGCGGGGGAAGACAACAAACAAAACACAAAAAACAGTTCTAAAGAAATGAGTTTTCAATATAGATTATGTAAAAGTGCATAGCTCCAGTGGCTTCGTCATATCGGAAGGAAGAGCGTTCCAGACGGCCGCAGAACCGCATCTGAAAGCGCGCGATGCAGTGCACGTCTTTGTTTCATGGCCAGCCAAAAACATCAGCCTGGACACATTTGCACTGCCCCTCTTCAGGACTGTAATGGCTTTGTGGCTGTGGATGACAGCTGATAGCACCTGGGAATTTACACACCTGGGCAATGGCACACCTGGGCATTACCACACCTGCACACACAGGCTCACGATGGCCACCTCCAATCTGCACAGTCCTCAGACTCGCATGGGATACGTTTCCCAGAAGGTCCCAGGTGGCTTGGAATGCTTCTATACGTGTGTGATCACCTACTTCACCGATGGAGTCGTTTAGGAGCACGAAGGAATGTAACCACGGAACACCACTGTGATAACGGACCAACCTCTCCTTTACTCAATCATATTTACTTAAAGTGGCTTTAAGAGCTGCCGTAAATCACTGTAAGAACTGGAGTTCCCAGAGTGCTATGAAACTGCCACGCTCAGAATAGAAAACAAATACTGTAGTCTGATTTATTACAAAGCAACGACACCAGGGAAAAAAGGGATCATTCAGAGTAAAGAGCAGGTCGATTTTAGGCCAACATCACACTGGATGGACAACAATGAAGCGGTTTACTGTAACAATCCGCCCGGCAGACTATGACCAATTTATCAACCGAGAGAAAGCACCAGCGTGTTCGTGCTTCGGGAACGAAATTGA